AGTCACTTAATATCTCCAATGTTGTTTTTAACCTGACTTCTGCTTTCTACCTCACTTCCAACAGTGTGAAGCTGAGAACTCAACTCCACGCAATTGTATTTCCAAATATAGTCAAGTAATACTCTCCCTTATACTGTGTTTTTCTTCCATTAAATCTCAATGCACTTTAACAAAGACAGAACAAACATGAAGGCAACAGTACACTGGTTCATGGTGCATATGACACAGCAGACTGCTCCCAGAGATGGGATCAGGCCTGTCTTCCTCTAAACCTTTCCCCCACTTGTTAGAACTCACCTTCTGCAGCCGAGGCAGAACCCTGCGATGCAGAAGCAGCCCGCGTTTGTTCATAGATAGACAGCAGCTCTTCATCTTCCACTGCAAAGTAGACTGGCACAATGGTTTCCATAGCAAGCATTTCTGGCTCTATCTCCATGAATTGCTGAGGATTTAAGTGAGACACAAACTTAGCATCTGCTAAACATGCAAGAGGGCAGAAAAAAATTAACAACCAAAGCAGAGAGAGAAAGGTAAGTGTTAATATGATTTGTTAGAATGTGAAGCGTTAGAATATGATTTGTTGTGCATTACAACAGGAGCTTTCAGTCCTGCAGCAACCCAAGCCTCTTTCCCTCCCAAATACATCTCCCACCAGAAGAGAAAGGAAATGTTTTTTTTTACCCTTACAACATCCTGTGGGACAGAAGAGATAGATCGCGGCAAGATGATCACCACAGCACCAGCTGACTGGCGGAGAGCCTTCTGGTACTGCTCATAGGAGAAATCCACCAGCCGCATCATGACGCAGCGGCGGCTCAGGACATCTGCTTCTACAGTGCGGGCTTCTGTGTTAAGCACTGCGCTCCTGGTGCCTGTGAGGAGAGAACAGCAAGAAGTTTCGTAAATGATTTTGTCGCATCCCCTTTGCTTGAGACTAGCTCCTTCTCAGAACAGTCTTGGTGACAGTCTCATGAACTTCAGAGTAGTCAGGACCTGCAGGAAGCTAAGTTCATCTCTTCCCCCTCATCCAAGAAGGAAGAAAAATCTGTGGTTTTTCCTTGCATCCATCAGAGCAACATCTGTGCAGCCCTGTCCTGCCAGGCTCCCTTTACTCCAGCACTACGCAGCCTCAACCACCTTCCAGGCTTCCTCCCCGCCACAACCATGCAAGCTACCTGTTTATTTGCCTGCACCTAATACCTGCAGACAGCAATAAATCTGGAGAAAGCCTGGCCTCTTGCTATGCAGCCTACTGCATTGCCAGCTGTAGGATCAGGTCTGCAAGCAGAGGATGCAAGCTGTGCAGAACCACTTTGTGAAAGGACACAAGATTACCCCATGTCCATCCAAAGGGTTGTTCTAAGCTCACCCAATGGGATGTTTCTGTGGCTGAGAAAATTACAAATAAGCAGGGTGCTCCTAGGTATTTGCATCCTCCTACTCTCAGTTTCAGCATATCAAATCCCCCACATGAAAATGCAATCCTTTGGGAGAACAACAGTCTGGAGGCTTGCCAGCAGATCCAGCATTCTCCAAGAGAGGACCACAAGGGCATCTTGTATAGACACGTTCAAATCCACCTTACAATTTGTAATATTCCAAATCAAATTTCTTCTTCTATAACTCTGGCACCTACATTGAAGGTTTCATCATACTGGGTCCCCATGCAGCCAGGGAAGGAGCAAGGTGCTCTCAGCCTATGCCAAATAGAAGTGTTGCTAAAGGTTAGATTTAAACCTGGCTGAACTTAACTCTAACGTTAGTTTGGTCTTGTCAAAGGTCTAATCACCTAAACAAGAAAAATCTGTACTTCCACTGCATAATATCAGTGAGGGCCATACACCCAGAAACAGAGTTAAGGCACAATCCGAATTCTCCACACAGAGCTCCTACACTGTATAACAAACAAGTATTAAACAGCAGCAGCCCCCTCGCCGCACTCAGAGGAAAAAAAAAAATCCATAATGAGGATAATCTCTCCACCATTCCCAAAACAATGACACGTAAACACACCAAAGCGTGGATCCAGAGTTCTGCTCCGAGCGCAACCCTCTGACATCTAAACAGAGCAGACCCAACAGTATTTTCTGACAGTACAGCAAGACAAGTTGATTCTCTGTAGTGTCTCTATAGAGAACTGTTTCATAATTGTTCATTTACAATCTAAAGAACTCTATTCTAACAGTATTAGAGGAAGTCCAAGTTTGTTCTTAAATTGCTCTATGACTGATGTTGACAAAAAACCTCTTCTCCCCCCTGCAAGAAAAGGCTCAGCAGCAATCGCTATTTGGTCCTTTTGGAAAAGAATCTGGAACAACAAATAGCTTTCATCCCAAAGGACATCTGGCCTCAGAACACACACACGGAACAGGAACATCAGCTACCCAAAGGTGCTGGCAAGGAACAAAGGAAACACACAGTCCACCGAGCTAAAAGGCTACAGAAAAAGAAACAGCATAAAAAGTTAATTGCAAGCATCTTAAAAAAACAATGTGTGGCTTTTCAAGAGTTCACAAAATATTCCAAAATATGTTGTGAGCACTTGGCTAGAAAGAACACTCAAGCAACCAAAGTCAAAGCCAGCTGAAACACATGCTTGCTGTCCCCATTAAGCCTGCCAACAAAGACTTACCACCACATGAGGAAACAGATAGCTTAAGACCCCCATGAGAGAGCCTACCTCAGATCTAGTGAGGTTCTCAACAACAGAGGTCTCAAGATGCAGACACATTTTGAGGAACTGTGATGGAAGAACCCAGAAATAATTTCAGATATCCAGAAGCCACCAGATATCCAGGAGCATCTGTAGTGTTTACAAAGCATGCGGGTATAGCTGGCATTTCATAACTTCTACTGCTGTTTGATCTTATGAAGATCTGAAAGATCTAGAGACTGAGTCTCATGGACAGTATAAAATAAATTGTGGGGCTGTAATGCCAGACTGTTAACGTAAGTCTGAAACTTAGGCCACAAAACTGACAACAGGAAGAGTCACTCACGGACAGAACGCATGCCCTGATCTGGAATAAAGTATCTACGGAAGACGCGGAAACACCACTTGATTCTGGGTTAGTGGGTACAGGGGGGTGGATTTGCAGAACAGGTTGTGTTTCTGACTCAGAGAAAGGTGTTGCACAATTGGCAGCCTGGAAGCAACAGAACAGAGGAACTGGAGGTCAATTGTAACACAAGGGAAGAACTGTAAAAGAAAAGACTCTCAAACAGAGACACTGGAGCAATAGACACTGATAACTGAGACTGAAGAAAAGGCTGAAGAGCAAAGAAGAATCAACCTGTCAAAACAGCCAAAGGCAAGCGAACAAAACTGAGCTCACAACCAAGTTCCCCAGTATGCAAGAGGGCTGCAGCTGGACAACTTGAAACACAGGGACTTCAGCCCACAGACCGGAGTCTGCAAGGACACGGCAGGGTCCTTGGCCACCTCTAGGTCACCATGTGGGAGCTCTCGGCACTCTCCTGCTCATGCTGAGACTGGACGCTAAAACTCAGTCTGACGGGGACTGCCTGCGGCCTCCCCTGGGTCTGGGCCCGGACCGGGGCCCGGCTGCAGCCTCCCAGGGCCCTCCGAGCTCTCTTGCAGCCTCCCCTGGGCTGGGTCGCCCTCCCCAGCCCGCCTGCGGCTTCGCGGCCTACCCTGGGCCCCTCCCTGGGGTCGGGGCTCTTCCCAGGGACCCCGTCGGCCCTGAAGGGGGCCGCTGCCGGGACCCGCCCTCCCGGAGGGCCGAGCCCGGCCAGGCCTGGCAGCGTCTCACCGTAGGGCTGCCCGCCCAGCTCGTACTGCTGCATGCGGTAGACCGTGAACTCGTGGGCGGCCTCGGCGGCGGGCGGCGGGCCCAGGAGCAGAAGCACAGCAGGCACGAAGAGCAGGAAGCTGAGCGGCAGGCATGAGGCCTTCAGCACCGACTCCAGCACCTCGCCTGCCTCCTCCAGCATCGCCGCGGCCCCGGCCCCGCCGCTGCGGCCTGCTCCACCG